CACCAATAATTAGAACATAAAAAGCGATTATGTACGACTGTCTTTTACCGTGACCACAGGCGCATAAAGTAACTTTTCTTTTCTTATTTAAGTCTTTTTCGGTGATTCCCTTCATTCAGGATTGAAAAGGGGTCACAGCACCAAATGCATATAATTATTTGGTTACAAGAGAAGAGCTATCATAAGAACGCCCAGTGTGTCTGTGTGTGTGTGTGTGTGTGTGTGTGTGTGTGTGTGTGTGTGTGTGTGTGTTAGGTCAAAGATCACAAACGTGCGTAACTTAAAAATTGGAAGAGGAAATGAGGCGGCAGATAACAGATCGAAATTGTAGAAATCAATTCCCAAATGTTAGAAACAAATTGTTGTTGTTGTAAGGTTTAACACTGTTTTCAGCACAAGATAGGCGACACGTGGCAGTCAGTATAAATGGTGGAAGAAGAATCCGGGAAAACCCCGGAAAGGACCACCGACCCACGAGAAGCTCCTGGCAAGCTTTCTCACATACCCACATTGACCGAACCCGAGACTCGTACCCACGCAGACAGAGCTGATATGGCAGTGATCCGTAACAGTGAGCGCTTTAGACCACTTGGTCACTAGGGGCTCCCACTCGAAAGTTTTTGCTTTTAAATCTTTTGATCGAGAAGCGGAAGGATACATATAATGTACATTGCTTGTCAGTTTTCCAAGTGCCTGAGATTTAACTGCAATATTTGCGTACGCCTGTTGACTTGAAATTGTTACCGTTGGTTAATATTTTTATGAAAGTATGTCTATCATCGAAACTGAATCTGAGTTCACACCTTTCAGCAAACTTATGTCATTCTGTTTACTTTCCAGTCAGCAAATCCTGCATCTGAGTGCTTCCTTTGCAGGCTTTATTCACATCAGTTTAATATAAAGTTCAAGGTCAAACTTCTATTTTCTTTCACTTGATGCAGTGAAATCTATATTGTGTGTGATTGTAGCATTAAAATCGTGTCACACACAAAATTAGTGCAAAAGAAGGATATCTTGTAAATTTCTGTTTGCTAGTAACTCGCGTTTGAAATGTCAGCTGTAATCGCCTACATTTATACCAAGATTATACACAATAAAACCTACAAGACATTAATCTATAGTGATTGCAACAAATGCACATGACACTAACCTATAAGTGCTTGCAAGAAACCTACGTGACAATAACGGTCGCGTGTCATGTGCGTTTATCATTGAACCCTTGCGGCCTATCTGCAAATTAATATTTCCGCTCTAAATCCGCAAACAGATCACAACCAACACCACCCCGTTACCCCGAGGAAGAAAAAAAAACGCAGTTTGCGGAATGGTGAGAAAGTGCCACTAAGGCAAAAACAAATTCTAAACATTATTTCGAAATGTTAGTGATGGAAGTTTAAGAATATCTTGAATGGAGGGCAAAAAAATTAACATATGTATGATATGTACAGTCAAATAAAGTCGGAAGTAGATATTTAGGGTAATTAGTAATGTACAATTCAGTACAGGTGTACAGATAGTACTTTGATATGAAGAAATAACTGACGATTATGTTACTAGTGATGTTCTATTTCCTTAAATTATCATGGAATATTCAGCAATGAGTTTATGAAATAATGACTTACAATAATAATGTCATGCTTTTTTCGACACTTTGAAGCAGTATACATCGAGTCATACTAAAGACTTATAAAAATTGTACAATCAGCTGCCTCGCTAGGCGCTCAGCAATAATGACTTTAGTGTTAGGACTAGTCGGCCTGGTGTCAGAAAAATGTGACTGGATGGGACATGATGCTACGTGCCTGCAGAATGATGTCACAGTGCTAGACATCACTATAAACTGCCACACTTTAGACGTCGAAGAGATATGACTGAAAAAAATTTACAGCGAAGTTAAAATTTCAACACAAAGACACGCGCACGCATGCACGAAAGGGATTCTGTATCAGTGAAGCAAAAATGTCTCTGACACGTATCAATAATCCACTGAGTAACAAGAAGTGGATGTTATTAAGAACTTTGAGAAATTGAACGTAAGATGCTTTTTTATTGAAAATACTGTTTGCAAGTTTTTTTTAAAAAACATTTAAATCAGTCATGAAACTTTGGGATAATTAAATCCTAAATACAAGGCATAGAGGCCTGTGTTGATTTATTTACATCGTTTTATGAGAACCACAACGAAACAACTGTACATGTCTGTTGGGACCGCTCGCGTGACCTGAGTGGTTTAGCGTCCGCCTCAAATGCGGCAGGACTGGGTTCGAACTCCAGCCGAGTCATGCCAAAGAAGAGTTTAGTGTTAGGACTGGTTGGCCTGATGTCAGGATAATGTAACTTGTATCGTCTTGTACATGCTGTACTTTTATGTGCTGTCTGGCTGTGTTCAATTGATATTTTGTACCCACAACAATATCATGTACACCAAAAACCCTCGCTACTCCCAATATATGACTATCAGGATGCAAGGTTATACGATGGCCACCGTACTCTACTATATTCCGGGCCGCCTCACATAAACCGGAGATGTTAATGGTATGCTCTCCTCTAGGTTTATTAATAAGTAATCATTCAAAACGTCTACAGGCCTTTTTCTGAAATGCAACTTCTCATTTTGCTAAACTGAATTGTACTTGCTGAATTGAAAAATGTTGCACAGTAACGATGGTAACTTACAATAGATATCCCTTTTTATCTTTATTAATCGATATGGCTGACACGTAAGTTTGGCATTATAATATTGTATAACATTCCAATCTATTGATGCGCTCAATGCCCTTATGACTTGCCTATATTTGAGATTACTTCGACCATCAGTGACATAAATCATCTCTTTCGGTTCTTCTTTCCTAAGCACCACATGTATTTGCTAAGATTACATTCAAGCACAAAAAAAACTGACGAAACCAGTCGTCAAACACACACACACACACAAACACATACACACACAAATCAATATGTAACACGAATGTGCTAGGCGTCAATAAAGCTCCACTAATTAATATATAATTAAACTGAGAAATAAAAGTAAACTTCTTCCTTAATCATATCATAATTGATTCACTATAATCCCATTGTAGAAAAACACGAGGATACAAACATGTATTCATGCAAAACACTGTTCTGACCGTTTTACGCTACAATTAGTTTTTAATTCTCGATTGCTGACAATTGAGACATTCAATAGTTTGGAATAATCATCGTACAAAGTATATATATATATCTTAATGAATAAATTTTGAATTTTCTTATAATTAACAATTTTCTTCTTTTGAAACACTCTGTTTGCAGTGTCTTCTCACACACAAGCGGACACACATCATACAGTTGTTAATATTTCTCAAAGCTTCAAGCGATTTTAACATAGTACCTTTTCGATGAAAAAACAGTGGAGATGTACAATATACAATATCAAATTGCTTCCTCTAAGTTTTTTAAATGCCTTTTCTGTAAAGCTTTTGGTACCTGCACATTCCACTTACAATTTGCTTTGTTGTTTTTAAAGCAAATAATGTTTCATTTTCCAATTACTACGTTTTATACACGATATTTGGCTATACCAAGCCTACCTAACATATGAAACCGATTCACATTACCAGTAACCCCTTATTTTAATGATGGTAGATCTGTCTTTTTGAATGATTTACGGAGGAATGTTTTTGCTATTTCTAAATTCAATTTGATTTTCTTATGAACGTACAGGGAGAGAAAGTTAAATTGATATAAGTTTTAAAACGATTGAAGCAAGATTATAGCGTAGAAAGATTAACGTACCCACAACTGATGTGAAAAATTCAGGTGCTGAACTTCCGGCTGCCATAAAAGTTGCCCCGGCAACGTCCTCTTTTAAATGGAGATCTGCATTTACAAGAAAAAAAAGTGTAAACTGGTGTGCAATACCTCGAAATAACTCCTTCTTTTAACGCATAGCTCTCCTACATTTTGCCTTCAGAATAAAGCTTTTTACCAGATTCTAGATGGCAGTTAAACAGGAAAAAATAAAACGTGAATGGAACTTTTCACGTCCATTTTACTAAATTCTCCATTCTTGAAAAAGGGGTCGAAAAAAAACCGAGCTTCTCTTCTCATTAACTCAAAAGTGACTTTTCAAAATTAAAGATATTTGTGATTGGATGATGTTAGAACAGCCTCATGCGTTTCTCATGGACAGAAGAGAACGATCTTTGCTTTGTTGAAGTGTCAATGCTCTTCGTTTTTCTATAAAACTGAAAACAGATCTTTGGGTAGAGGAATTAATTTACTTACATACTTTTGATTAACACCATACATTGTGCTCCTGTGAGATTTGCTCTCTGTATTTATAAATGCTGTAGCATGCACCCAGCCAACATATGTCCAGCTTATATAAATGGACGATAATCTTTCGAATAAGCAAATTAGCCGATAAGGAATCAGTCGTTTGCTTGGTGAGTGGGTTGTCTGGTTGGTTTATAGGTTGTTTGTTTGTTTGGAAGTTTGGTTGGTTGGTAGATAATAACGCAGTGAATGCATAAATGTCTATTTTGACAATGAGATGGGAGTCAAGTGCCTTTACAAGAATTCAACGAGATAGTCGTCATCATTATGGCATGGATGGGTGTCGAAATCGCGAACCTTGGCTCAGGAGTCTGATACTCTGCCGCAGCAAAGGAGTAATCGTGCATGCAAATAAATGACGTCACAGCACCCATGAAGTGCCATTACATTGATGGGCACAAACACATAATTTATAACAGATTCGTAGCGAGGGATTGGCAAGACACCGCACGTGCCGTGGGCGTCACTTGAAGAAGGAGGGAGCGCAAAATCGGTGAGCAGAAAATAGTTGTTTTTTTATATGCTTTTAAAGCTTTAGTTCTTGCCGAGGGCGCCACTTTGATAGGGGCGAAATTTTAGTTCTTGCTACGCATTGTAGTCCTCGCTACGCATTTAATAACAGCGGTGATAAAAAAAAGTCCTCATAAAATTTATAATTATTGAAAAAGTTACAGTTTTTAATAGGACGCTTGAATCAATATTTCCGTTAATGAAGCAATATAATCATTCATTATTTTCGATAAATAACAGTAATTATATTTGTAGCCAACAATGCTGGGTCAAGTTTATGCCCACCACTACATGCACAATCCAATGACCAGTCACGTGCCTACATGATGTAGTTCCCAGTTACTTTCATTAGGACAATGGATTATTACATCTGCTAAAAAAAAATTCCCAGCCATCACTTAAAGATGAACAAAATAATATTAAATGGCATTCACCAGGGAATCTTACAAATATCGTACTGTGAAATATTTCTTTTCAATATGTGTTTTTCTGATGAGGAAATATTTGTGCCAATAAAATGAAATTTGACCAATGGTAGCAAAATGTTTAAACAATTGATATTACGATAATTTTTGCAAAGATATGCAATGACCAAATATTCAGTATTACCTTCACAAATTCTCTCCAATGACGACACAAAATAGTCATCGCAAATAATGGCCAGAGCGGCAAAAAGATACAGAGCAAAAAGTATGTGCAGAAATACGCCGCCATCTTTTGTATCTTGTAACGTGAAGAAATTGGGCGGAAATTCATCCACCGTGTGATGCGTACACTTCTTTTCCGTTTTATTGCCATCTAGAAATAAAGAAAAAATGTATAAATTGTTTGAAAGAACTTTTTAATATTATATATAAGAAAGATTTTAATTCACAGAAATTCAATGTGTATTTTTGGCATCGGATATAGTTGCAAAGCTGCATAAATCTTGGCTCCAATTTGTTTAAATCTTCGTAGTCATGTCACTAATTTAATTGGTGAGAAATAAATAGAATTTTGGATTATACTCACACACACACACACACACACACACACAGAGAGAGAGAGAGAGAGAGAGAGAGAGAGAGAGAGAGAGAGAGAGAGAGAGAGAGAGAGAGGCAAAATGAAAGTCAACGAATTCTGTCAAACGATATAAAGTAGAAACAGAAACACAGAAATCGATAATTATATATTTTCCGTACCGTGCTAATAGAAAGTGCTAAAAGTGCAAAGCCGGCAGGTTAAAACAAAAACACAATGTATAGAGAATTTTTTAAATAGTGATCAGATCATTTAAGTCACAAGGCGTTACAATGTTATTCGAACACTATGAGCTAAATATTTCGTGGATTTATTTTACAGTGTTGATCTTTGATACTATGCAAAAGGGTACCAATATTGGTAGTATCGTCCACCAAGACAAATGGCCCTGTAAGTAAGACTAATATCACAGGGCACAAATCGCTAAATGCATAAAAATACTACTTATCGTTTGTAAATAAATAAATAAAAATATATATTTAAACATTTATATATTTATGAATATACATATATACACATATATATTTACACACACAAACATATACATATATATAGCATCCGATGCTCGGGAAGCGTTTTGAAATGACAAACAAATGTCTTATGAACAAAATATTTCACAGAGCAGTTAGTTGTCAATGGACGACATCTGCATGTAATTAGTGTTTTAAATGACGACACAGGGAGCCAGGATGTAATTTGCCGTAACTGTTTAGAAACTGATATTATTTTGTATTTATGAAGCATCATTTGGGGAAAAAAAAGAGAGTGTGTGGGTGATGTGGAGACATCGTAAGCTTTTATCGACCAGTCAGATATTTTTCGTTCTCTAAATAAAATTTTCTTTGTTGTCTGTATACCTTGGAGAGAGAGAGAGAGAGAGAGAGAGAGAGAGAGAGAGAGAGAGAGAGAGAGAGAGAGAGAGAGAGAGAGAGAGAGAGAGAGAGAGAGAGAGAGAGAGAGATCCTTACCATCATGAAGCCCTCCTACATCTCGCTTCAATCTGATTTGTTGTTCTGAAACCTTGGAATCGTCATTCTTATGGAGAATGTCACGTGAACGGAAATGGAGGCCAAAAGTTACAAATGTGATGTAAGCCAAAGCTACCAGAATCAATTGAAGACTTCGGATTTTAACTCTTCGATCTTTCCTTCTCCTTAACGCAGCATTCATTTTGCATTAATGTTAACTCAGATGACTTATCATGATATAAGAAAACAATTTCTTGTTATTTTAATGGCAATTCCTGTTAGCCACCCGTCTGTCACTTCGGTTATAATAAGGTACATAATTTTGATAAGATTGTAGTGTATGTACAAATCACATGCTCAGTCGTCATAGTCGTTATCTTCTTCTCTGGGAAGATAAACAGATAAAATCCATCAATGTATATATATATATATATATATATATATATATATATATATATATATATATA